ATTCCATTTTTTATGCTAAACTCGATTTTCATGTTAAATTTTTTTTTAATCATTGGTTTTTGCATTTATTATCGAACAGTGGCCCGAAATTAACTAAAAATTGAGAATGCTTTACCAATTAAATGCAAAAAACTCTATATTTGAGTTATTTTTGAAGCTTTGTGAATAAATAGATTTTGTAAATGGAATAATGACGCAATATGTGTCAATCGCATCTTTTCTTCTTAGTGCCCATTCATTATTTAATGAAGATGGTAAACAAGATAAATATCTTGCACAATTATCAGCAGTTGTAGGTGATGTTTATAAGAAAATTTTGAATGAAAATCCTGTTACAAGTGATCCATTAAAAAATCTTGCATCTATTGAAAATCGTCTTGAAGAATTATTTCAAGAAATTGCACTTATGGATCCACTACGTTTACAAGAAGCTGAAAAGTCCAAAGAAAAAGAACGACGTATTCGTTTACGTGAACAAAAGAAACTTGAAGAAGAACGAGCTACTGAAGAAAAGAAATGTAAAGCTGCATTACGTGCTAAAGAACCGCCTAAGAAACATGTTGGTCGTTCAATCGCTGAACGATCAAGACCACCTGAATTGAAAAAATTCGATCAAGATACAATCAACAAAACAAACAAAGAAGAAGAAGAAGAGCTTGCTTATTATTTTACTTGAACATATTTATCTCATTTACAATGATACGTCTTTTTTTCCGTCCATTTTATATTGAAGTTTTTTTTTCTGTTCGAATGAATTTTCAATATAATAAAAATATTCATTTGCTTCGTGACCCGACAGTTGAGCTCCCGACAGATGAGCCCCGACAGTTGAGCCCCGACAAATGAGCCCTCGACAGTTGAGCCTACCGACAGTTGAGCCTACCGACAGTTGAGCTTCCGACAAATGAGCTCCCGACACTTGAGCCTCATATTAAAAAAAATTTAATAAAGCCTGATGAATAATACGTCGTGGTGGATCATGCGATATTGTTGCACCAGAACTGATATTTGATTTGAATTCCACTGATATTGTTTCTTCAGGATTTGGTGCATGAAGAGATGATCCGTAACTTTAATATAACCTGTTCCATCAAAACGTACACGACCAGCACAGTCATTTCGACAACAACACCAAATAATTTGAGATTTATTTGCACGACGATAATGATAACCACTAAGTAAAAGTTGATCCTTGTTTTTTGAAGATTTCACGATTGACATTGTTAATGATAATAGAAAAATATACCAAGAATGATAAAACCTTTATGAGTCACAGAAATATTGTTCGAAAAACTTGTTCATTTCATTTCTGTACAGATGATTGACTTAGCCACGAAAAATATATCGACGAGCCATCAGTACCATCGAAAGATGTCTCATGTTTCCGTGCACCATTTTCAAGTGAATTAAGCGATTCAATAATAATTTCGTGTGTTCTATATTTAATCG